TCCCACCGCCCCAGGTACACTCCACTATGCACCCTTAATTCTGGACTCTTGTGATAACTGTAATACCCTATCATATATCGCTTTTAAATTATTCTCTCCCTCATCTGTTTCAATGCAGTATACATAATTTATCCAGTTTTTCTCAGTCTTACCCCAAACCTGATATCAGTCTCACTCTACAACAGTGGTACCATGCAGTATTTGTCCTTTTGTGACTGAGATATTTCACTCAGCATAATGTCCTCCAGAGTCATCCATTTTGGATAATATTGCATGAGTTCCTTGTTTTTCGATGCAAAAGCTATGGTTTTGAGTCCCTACTCTGCTGCTAACTGGCACAAACTCCTCACTATTCAATGGATTTCCTGCTGTGTCTTCCAGAGCTGTTGTGAGAATCTTGTGAGCACTAACAAGTGGTGTGTTGTTGTTATAGCATCAAGTCAAAACCAACTCATAATGAACCCTCCCAGTGAGTTTTCGGAGGCAGTAAATGTACTGGAGGAGATTGTTCAACTTTTCCCATGGAGTATCTGGTGGATTTGAACCTCATTCCTTTGTTTGAAAATGCAGTTCTTTACCACTACACTACCAGGGTGCCAGCCAAATGGCATAGCATAGTGTCATTATAAGAGGGAAGTAGAGTACTATAATTCTGCACCTGGAGACAGCCTCCTGCCTGAAGAAGCATCTGTAGTTTGCAGGCTTTTCACTCCTAAGATCTCATTGCCAGACCCTCCCGTCATCCTAATTTCTTTCTAGCTCAACTTTTTCTCAATTTGAGTTGAAACAATAATACAGCTCAATGCTACATTCCTAGCATTGAATGGTTAGGGGAAGAGCTAAGGTGGGACTTAATCTAAAATCTCACTTCAATCTTTAGAAATGAGGGTGTAGAACTGATAGCTCTAGTGTTATGTAAGATTCTAGTTCCTGTTATCTATTTCTCATGTGTATGTGTGTGTGCCCAACAGCGGATTCTGTCTTTATGAGTAACGCTGCTGAGAGAGAGGAATACGTTTTACAAGATTCTGGCATCATTTACGTAGGAAGCACAAATCGCATTGGAATGGTTGGCTGGAACTTCGGGCAGGTAAAAGGATCATAAGAAGTTGGGGAGCATATGCCTATTTTTCAAGGAGCTCGGTATCTGACTCCATAGATATATAAACGATCCTCTATCCATGCTCTAACTTTCTATTCAATAACTTGTTCAGAAGACGTTTATTAGCCACCTACTGTGTGCCAGGACTCAGGTTGCATATTAAGGAGACAAGAGAAAAAGAAAATCTAATTGCTGTCTTTAAGAAATCTGCCATATAGTGGTCAAAACAAACTCATAACTGAATTGGTACCATAATGTATAATTGGTGCTGTTGTATGCAAATAAACATAAGGCTCAGTAGAGGCAAACAGGACAGAATGAAAGTAGATTTTGTTTTTGGTTTTGGTATTATGTAAAAGTGTAAGGAAATTCCTTGTTGTGCGTGCACTAAGTCTTTTAAAGCCATGAACTCTTTGTCCTTTATTTCCCTACCCCAAATTTGAGTTCCCAAATTTCCCTAGTTTCTTCAGCTAAGAAAAGACTCAGGGATTCCCTAAACCTCTTCTTTTCCCCACAAAACAAATGCAGGCATCAGGATGTGGTAACACAGATGAGGTGCCTTGAATAACAGGGAGGAGCACTCAAGGGTAGCCTGAGCTGTCCTTCTCCAGACCTTATCTCATAATCAACCAGACCAACTCTTCCATTTCCTTTTTATGTATCTCAGGTGTCATCTGAAGGAAGGAAGGGGGCTTATAGTATGCCTAGGGATCAAAGACGGACTGATTTTGATAGTGTAGTCAAGGAAGAAAGGGTTAAACCAGGCCGCTCCTTGGAGGCAAGGATTCTGGGGCTTCGCCTGACATACTTTGGACATGTTGTAAGGAGAGACAGGTCTTTAGAGAGGGACATCATGCTGGGTAGAGTGGAGGGACAGCGCAGGAGGGGAAGACCCTCTATGAGGTGGATTGATTCAGTTACTGGGGTAATCGGGATGGGTGTGTCAGAGGCAATGAGATTGGCACAGGATAGAGCAGGGTTTAGGGCTGTTGTACATAGGGTCGCTATGAGTTGCAAACGACTCGACGGTACATAACAACAACAACAACAACAAGTCAAGGAAGACTTCTCTTAAGAAGAGATATCTACACGGAGACCTGAAGGATGTGAGGGAGAAAACCATAGAAATGTCTTGGAGAAAAGTATTCTTGATAGATAGAAAGAAATATGTAAAGATAACAAAACAAGAGGAAGCTGGGCTTTCTGGAATTAGGCCTCAGATTGAGAAGCATTGATTTAAAAGCTTTGTTTTGTAAAAATGGTTTAAAATATTTTTTTAAGAGGGATGTGTTATAGAAAGAGTCTAAATAAGATGCTCAAGATCACAGACTCAGAACCAGAAGGGACCTTTTAGATCAGCCTCACTCACTCGCTCATTTTCTAGATGGAAAGACTGGGGCTCAGACAGGGTCAGCATCTTGCTCCAGATCCTGTGGCAGCAAGAGAATCAGCTGTGCCCAGCTCCCTCCTCCACTTTAGAGATGTCAGCATCTCTTGTGTCCAGAAAGCACGTGATGGGTGCACAGGGCTGATGGCTGGATGGTGGTGGCTGTTCCATGGATGTTCTATGCAGCTAGGAGGTCAAAGGGCAGAAGGATCTCAACACTTCCGGTGGTTCTCATCCATGTCATTCTTGTCCCCTTGATAGCCTGTATCTTTGATAGCCTAGACAGCCTGCTGTGCCTTTGGGTCTAACACCAGGCCCAATTTTCTTTACAGTTTGAGCAAGACATTCTGGGCGTTTGTCTTTCAATCCTTGATAGAAGCTTGAATTTCCGCCGTGACCCTACTACCGACGTGGCCCGCAGAAATGACCCCAAATATGTTGGCCGGGTGCTGAGTGCCATGGTGAGTAATAGTAAGAATATGACAGCACTCGCTTATTTCCGGATAGCAACTATAAGCACACGCTCTCTTTCCCACACATCATCTCTTGAAGCCTTTTCACAAAATACCACCCATCACTATCAGTTAATGCTGAGGGAACTCTGACTCATAGTGACCCCAAATATATCCGCATAGAACTATACTCCTCAAGGTTTCAAATGGCTGATTTCTCAGAAGTAGCTCCCCAGGTAATTTTCTTCCTAAGTTCCACTAGATGGAATTGAACCTCCAGACTTTCACTTAGCAGCCAAGTGAGTTAGTGGTTTGTACCACACAGAGACTCTCCACAAAATTGAGTTGATAGATGTTATCCCTCCCACTTGGACTTAGAGTGTAAGTCTTTTGTAAACGACTCGGGTCTGCCTGGCTTCAAAGGCCCTGTCCTGCCCTCTTTTCTGGGAGCCTTTTCTTAGGTAACATAGGGAATTTTTCCTTTGGTGCCCCCGGGGGCAGAAGAAAGCAGACTTGATGCACTGACTATGTTCTGGGAAAGGAGACAAGTGTCAGGAAAACCATTGTTGAACTTCTTAGCTTTGATCTGTCTCCTTCACTACAAAATGCTGAGCAACAAGAAGGGATGGCATCAGGTCCGCTCTCATCCAGACGTGAAGCCAAAGCCCAAAGAACTGGGTCCCAGACACACAACCTTGGAGTCAAGCCAGAGCCAGGCTTGAGCGCCCCTCCCAGGATCATCCACACGAGAGGCCTGTCCCACACCTGCTAGCACCCCCTGGTGAGCCCAACAGCACTGAACTCAGCGTGCAGAGAGACAAAGACCATCAGAAAACCCCCAGACCGACATATTACACAATTGTTGTTGTTCTTGTTGTGTATCATCAAATGAGAACCCACAGCGGACCCTCCAGCAAGTTTTCAGAGGCAGTGAATTGCACAGGAGGAGATTGCCCATCTTTCTCCCATGGAGCAACTGGGTGGATTCAAACTGTGTACATTTAGGCTGGCAGACCAGGGCCTCACCACTAAGTCACTAGAGCTGTTACAAAGCTACACATTAAAAAAATTAAGTCCAAGAGAGTTCTTTACCTCCAACCCTTTTAAATGAAATTGTTACTCAGGAGGTTTTAACATCTTCTTTTCTTTTAAAATAAGATAAATAACTGATTCATGAACTAAACATTCATAGTCTTTTTACTTTGGAGTTAGATAACTTGTAAGCTAATACATAAGTTTCATGGTTGAACATTTGGGCATAATAAAGACTGGAGAGCAGCCAAAAAAAGAGCTCCTTGCCTACTGCTCCTCAGTGAAAAGCCTGGGGGTAGGGGTGGGGCGAGGGCGCTGATTCCTTACCAGTGAAATTTTCACTTTTCATGTGGGAGCCCAAGTTTTGCTTCCCAGCCAGCTTTCCCCAGCAGTAACCGCTTCCCTTGTCAGTCATGCTGCTGTGATGCTGACAGGTCTCAGCAGAATTTTCAGACTAAGAGAGACTAGGAAGAAAGGCTTGGTGAGCTACACCCATAAAAATCAGCCAATGAGAAACAACAAGGATCACAATAATCCCATCTGCAATCAGTCATGAGGATGGAGCAGGCTCGTTGTATACGTGGGGTCACCCTGTGTTGGAGGGCCAACTAGACAGTTAACACCAGTAGCCAGGGTGGGTGGCATCTAATTCCTAAACAACATGCCTCCAGAAACTCTGTGAATTTTGATAAATGTTGCTAGTTGTAGAGGGGCTTCAGGCCTTTTGTTCATAGGGTCTCTATGAGTCATGCTCAACTTGAAGGCGAAGAAGAAGAAGCAAGGGTGGAGCAGGTGTCCTGAAAAGCTGAAAGCAGCAAAAGAAAGGGTGAGGGGGAAGAAAAAATTTAGAAAAAGAAAAGGTGAGGGCTAGAATAGCCCTGAGGGATAAGGAGAGGAAACAGGGCTTACACCAAACCTCAGACTCCACATAGCTTGAAATCCCAGTGGCCTGGGAGGGAAGAGCTGAAAGCCAAGGCCAGGGAGTGGAGTTGGTGGTTTCTAAGGCTCAGCCTCCCCAGCCAGGAGAGAGTGGGTGAGGCTGCCGGCTTCTGCAGCTGCTGACTCACTGGCCCTGGGGACAAAGCACTTTATCTGGGAGCCAGTCTCCTCCGCAGTGCCTCCCCTTGATCGCTCCGGACCTCCCTGTTGGGCTGGGCCCTGAGCTAGTTCTGGCTTGTACCATGCTTTGAATGCTCAGCCAGAGATGACCCTCCTGATTAACTCCTGGACGGCTGGAGCCCGTTGCACGTCTTTGCGCTCAGAGGAGGCCCTCACCTGTCAGATCCTGTGATCCTGGCCCATGCAACCCCAGGAGGGGGTACCGAGCTCCCCCACTGGATCAAGGGCCAGGGAGGTTAGGCTGATCCAGGCAAGCCCATCTCACAGCCACTTGTGGAGACAGTCTAATGTGGCCTATTAGGCAAAGCATGTTTCAATTCCTCAACCACCCAGTACATAGAAAAACCAAACCTGTTGCCATTGAATCTTTGTGCTACAAAGTAGAACCACTGCCTGGATCTTCTTAACAATAATCTTTATGGTGGCAGAGCTAGTGGTCTAGTGGATAGGGAATAGTACTACCAACCCAAAGGTAGGCGGTTCAGATCCACCTGCTGCTCTGAGGAAAAAGAGGGGCCAACTCTGAAAGGCTGCTGCGAGGTCAGCTGTCGGCTCCGACTGAATGGCAACGAGCTTGTAGTTTCTGTTTGAATCTTGATGGGTATCACTGTCTCATTCACTACTGTTGGCTGCTAGGGACCCTTAGTCAAGTTTCCAAGGCTCCTGTATTGGGAGGAAACTGCCTGTCCTTCCCGCTCAGAGCTGCCGGTGGATTCAGACCACCAAATAGGCACAGCTTTGGGTTAGCAGTGCGACTCACTGCAGACTGTGGGTGCAAACTGCCAACTTTTAGGTCAACATAAACAATTTGTTTTCCCCTAGAGACCTTGTAGATCCATCTGCAGGAATATTATTATAATCTTGACTCCCTCCAAGCCCAGTTCCCCTGGAAAGACCCAGACAAGATCAGTTAGGTGGCTCCCTGGCCTCCGCCCCCACCCCTCACCTTGTCCCTTGAGCCCTTCCTATGCTCTCTGTGGGAAAGGTCTGAGCAGATCCATGTGGGGGGTTCCTGTCCAGGTCAACAGCAATGACGACAACGGTGTGCTTGCTGGGAACTGGAGTGGTAACTATGCGGGTGGCCTGGACCCCAGGAACTGGAACGGCAGCGTGGAGATCCTGAAGGAGTGGAAGAGGTCCAACTTCACACCTGTGCGCTTTGGACAGTGCTGGGTCTTTGCTGGGACCCTCAATACAGGTAGGTACTTTTAATGAACTGTCACGTTAGTGGGTCGGAGGCCGCGGCCCGAGTCCTCAGGCTGACCCTGGCTTGTTGCAGTGTTGCGGGCTCTTGGGATTCCCTCTCGAGTGATCACCAACTTCAACTCGGCTCACGACACCGACCGAAACCTCAGCGTTGATGTTTACTATGACCCCATGGGAAACCCCCTGGACAAGGGCAGTGACAGCGTGTGGTGAGTATCTGATTCCCTGGACCTAGAGCATCTTGTTCTGACTGTTCTCCTGAGGCCCAGCTTCAAACATGAGTTGGAAACAGTGTAACAATGCATGGTTTAGAATGGAGACACTGACGGTGCCCCATAGAGCACAGGGAGACCAGAGTCGGGGGGTCCGTCTAGCTTGCCTTAAGTGGAGTGATCCAACACCAGTGAGGGGTATGGGTTCCCAAGACTGCCCTGGATCTTCAGAGGGTCCACTAGACCCCAGACAACTTTAGGAGATAAACTACTCTGCTATTCATTGCTGTAGAAATGGAATTCACATGGAGCAGACCCTCCAGAGGGTTTTCAGAGGCTATAAATTACACAAGAGGAGAATGCCCATCTTTCTCCCATGGAGCAGCTCGTGGATTCGAACTGGCTGTCTTTGGGTTGGCAGTGCAACTTTTTACCCACTAAGCCACTCCAGCTCCCTCTAGAGAATGCTCCCCTTATGAATATTAAGGTTACTCATTTTCTAGTAAGAAATAAAAAATTCATCTTATTTCAAGCATCACATAGCACTTTCTTAAAGAGAGTTTTTATAAAACACCTTTCCAAGGGAGTGCTAGTGACTAGGGGCAAGAAGCTGCACTGCAATCCCAGAGGTGCACTGTTCGAATCCACCAGATGCTCCGCTGGAGAAGGAGGGACAATCTCCTCTTGTACCGGTCAGATTCAATTCAACAGTACACACAAGAAAATTAAAAAAAAAAAACAAAACACCAAAACCACACATTTCTTTATATATATATATATATATATATATATACTATGTTCATTGGTTGATAGAATAGAAAGCTAGAAGTGTATACTGGATCCCAGCTAAAAGTAAGATGCTTTAGATACAAATGTGCATATATATCTCTAATTATAACTATGCCATTTGTATTCACGCACACGTAATTTATAATAGGTGTGAGCTGGAAGTAGGTTATATAAAACTTAGAGACCTCTACCTATAACTGTTTATAGCAGTATATGAAATACAAAATAGATGCTGTTACAGCTATTGACTGTTACACCAGATGCCAAGCTCTTACCAGATGGCAAGTGAAAATAATCACATCTATAGCTGTGTGTGCCCATGTATAAAGTACCACATGCATACATGCATGTCTGTAACAAGTGTTTAATCCATGTTAGAGGATACATACACACATAATAGCTCACCCATACATATGTGGTGAGACAACTTTTTTTTTTCAAAACGAAAACCACTCAGACTGGGTGAGACAACCTTTTAAGAGTTAGCACCTTATTTCCAGATATTCAATTTTGAGACCCCCGCACCTAAAACCAAGCCCATTGCCACAAAGACAATTGTGACTCATCTGATGAGACAAGACAGGGCAGAGCTGCCCCATGGGATCCCCAAGCGTGTAATCTAAATGGAAGTAAGCTGCCACGTCTTTCCTGGCGAAGCTAGTGGATTCAAACTCCTGACCTTTCAGTTAACAGTGGAGTGCTTACCCACTGCAACAGCAGGCCTCCTCAACTCTGAGATAGAGGCAATATTCTTCATTATCTCCAGATAAGTAAGTTTAACTTTTCTAACACGTGCTTAGACTAACTAACAGAAGAAAAGGAAGCCCACCTTGAGAAAAAGCTATTAGGGAATAAACAAGAGAACGCCTTGCCAACATCAGGACTGCATCCACCCTCCCTCCCTCTCATGGAAGTGAAGGTCACACCAGTGGCTCAAAGTCATGTGGATTCCAGGCTATAATGGGCGAACAAAAGTTTATCTGGACATTTCCTTTCTCGATCTACACATGTTAAACTGTCTGAGCGTATTGCTTCTTGCAGAGTGTTTCGACTGTCAACTTCTTCTAAAGAGGTGTCCTTCCTCTCCTGGCTGGTTCCCTCACCTCCCTTTTTGTTGTTGTGTCTGAAGTCTCCTCGTAACTTTCCCTGCTTGTTGGGGCAGCACCTTTCCTTATCTTTGCTCCTTCCTTACTTCCTTATCTTAGTTCCTTCCCTAATTCCTCCCTCTGCTAGTGCCTTCATTCCTTCCTCAGGTGGAAGAGGTGGCTGGCTGGTCTTTGGGTTCCTTTTTAGTGTAACCTTTTGGTGATTATCCTGCCCACTAGATACCACTGGAGAAGGGGACAAACCATAGGTGGCAGCCACTTAGGGGCACAGGATGGCATTTGATTGAATAGTAGGCATGGTGGGAGTTCAGGGAAGGGACTTCTTGGAGGCAAGAAGGCAGGGCTCTGAAATGGAACATGAAATTAAAATCTACTTTTCTTACTTACCAATTTAGACTATTACCCACATCAACCTAGTAATTCTTTCTAAATTTGATAATTTCTGAGGCAAGTCTGGGCAATGGAGACATTCCAGAATGAAGGGTCCATGGCCATTTCTGGTGGGAGCATGCCAGGGCCAGAAACTGATTGTTCTGAGCGTCCCCATGACCCCCGCCCTTCTGATCCTGCTGACCTTTGCTGAACTCATCTCGGGAAATAGAGCTGATGGTCATTCCTGTTCTGCTTCCTACGAACCTATAACAAGAACCAGCAGCGGACTGCATGAAGTCAGGGAGCCCTGAGTATCAGCCCCACCACTATATTGCTGGGGGACTGTGCCGCCCCCCCCCTTTCTGGTCCCAAACTTCTCCATCAGTGAAATGTAACACTAGATTCTCGTTTAATTCTTTTACCAGTTTGTGGTTTGGGGGGTTGTTGTTGATTTTTAAATTCACTGCAGCCCTAAACCCTCCCACTTTTCTTTTCTTTTCTTTTTTTTTTAAGTGTTCCCCTTCACAAAAGGACCACACCATCCCTTTACATTCTTGGCACCCATGTTGATTTTTGCTGGTGTTGTTGTGATGTACTGTCAAGTCAGAACTAATTTACAGTTGGTCTTTCTGCTGGGTTTCAGAGCCTGAGATTCAGAGGAGAGATTGCCCATCTTTCTCTCATAGAGCAGCTGGTAGATTTGAACTCCTGCTTTTGAATTGACAGCACAACTCCTTACTCACTAAACCACCCGAGCTCCCTCCTCACACCCTTATGAGACCTAAAGCGAATCATTTTCTGCCCAGAGTAGAATGACTAACCTGCTATTATTATAAGGGTGTTTGAGCATCCTATTACTTAGGTGTGGACAGAAAAACTCCGCATGTTCCAAATGTTAATGGCTTTAGAACCTTGTCCAGATTTTCCAGAAATAATACAATGTGAAGATCAAGTGAGATCAAGCATCTGAAAGTCTATAATAATAATAATAATAATGGCAGCTGCAGCTAATAACTTATTGAGCAATCACTGTGTGCCAGGTTCTATTCAAAGTGCTTACGTGTACACTCCACTAAGAGCACCATAGACACTATTATTATCACCCCATTCTAGAGTCAAAGAGATTAGGCATAGAAAGATTGAGTCATTTACCCAAGCTTCCAGAACCAGAAGGTGGGGAAGCTGGGATTTGAACTCGGGCAGTTGTGTGAATTATAAAGCATCATAGAGACACCAGAGAATAGTGTTCCTAGTAGCTGATGGTTGATGACAATTCTTTCCTTGAGAATTCCCGAAGGGGCTTGGCTGGACCGCAGCCAGGGCTCGGTGTGGGTTGGGTGCTGTCCATTAGGGAGCTCGGTGAAAGAACCCTTTGAGAACTTGCTCAGGTAGAGAGGCCTGGAGTTCACCCTAGAAGTGGAACAGAGGTCTCTTTCTGCAGGACTTTACAAAGTTGAAGAACGGCAGGGCCAGTGAGAACTTAGAGACCTGCTCTTATAAAATGAAGAAGATGAGGACGCAGAGCCCAGAGAGAAGCGAACAGCCCAAGAAGGGCAAGCAGCTAGAGACAGTTAGATACTCGGATGTAAGCTCTTACAGGAGTTCCTTAACTTCTCTGTGCCTCAGTTTCCCATCTGTAAAATGAAGGGTTAGGTTAGGATCCCTTGGAGCTCTGGTGGCCTAGTGGTAAGAAGATGCATTACAATGCCAAAGGCACACAGTTTGAATCCACTAGTTGCTTTGCAGGAGAAGGATGGGCAATCTCCTCTTGTTTGATTAACTGCCTCTGAAAACTCACTGGATGGTCGGTGAAGGGTCGACTCTGACTCGATGGTACACCACACAAGATCAGGGGAACACAATGACTCCCTCCCACCCCCACCCCTCGGGTTTTTCTTACACTCACCACAGCTGTGAGATAAATATTCTTTTAAACTATTCTGCTTATGCCAATGGTTTGGCAAGAGGTACAACGCTCTGGAGTGTTCATTCTCTGCTTCAGAGTCAGGATGCTTTGTGAGTGCTCCGTTTGAACGTTTCTTTTATTCAGAATCACTCAAAAAGAGGGTCTCAAGGGCCCACTTCATCACGGAGCAGCAAACAAATGATTTGGAACAGCCTGGTCAAGCTTTTTGTTATCTTGACGTTGCTGGCTTACTTCCCTATTCCGTTTGACTGGATTCCCAGGTTTCTAGAGTCACAGACTAGAAACTGACTCTAGAAACACTCCCAGGCTCCCAGGTGGCAGACACTGAGGGTTGCCCAGCCCCGTGGCCAGGGAGGTGGGGCTGGCCAGTGTTTCTGGAGGCCAGCTGTAGCACCCACACCTCAGCCCCTCTTGCAATCTCCCAGCAACACCAGCTGTCCCCGCTAAGGCTCAGCCAGCCCCAGTCTACCTACAGCAACTTGCTCAGACTCGCAGTGAGCTCGAAAAACCGAGCTCAGAGAGAGCCGGGGCCGCAGGACAATCTGTTTCGACAGACATGATTAAGCACCCGCCGTGTGTCGGAATGTGCACCAAGCCCCACGAGGAGCCTGATGCAGAAACCTTGCTGATTTTGCTCACAGCAGCTTCTACAGATTGGCGATAATGGGTTAGGTGGAGTCACGTCTCAGAGGGAGCACAGACGGACAGACGGCTGGCAGGTCAGGAGAGACTTCTGGGAGGGAGTCTTTGAACTGGGAGGAGTGGCTGTTCAATGATAAAATTCTTCTTTCCTGTGGGGAGAA